CGGCTGCAGAGGAACACTTATCAGAGGGGAAGCCTCTGGAAATGCCATTCATCTCAATAGAGAGTTGCTGAGACAGAACAAAAAGACTGGGTGCTGGGGAGTGGGGGAGTGGAGTGCAGCCCGCCCTGCAGCCCTGGTGCTGATTCCCTCCCAGGTGCCTGCAGCCCACAGCCCGCCCTGGGCAGGGCCAAAACAGACAGCGGCCCAGCATCCGGAGGCATGGGCAGCGGGGGCCTGGGGACCTAGCTTGTGCTGGGCACTGTGCCCAGAGTTTCACATTTGCTCCTCAGTGCAACCCTCTGAAGGGCAAATTATTCCCCCAATTGCCCAAAAGGTGAAACCGAGGTTCAGAGGGGTTCAACAACATTGCCAAGGATACCCATGTAATAAGGAGCAGACCTAGGATCCGAACCCCGGCCTGTCTAGCTTTAAAGTCTGGGATTTTAACCACTCCAAGTGCTGCTTCTGGAATTGATTTCAGAACCTGGGACTCCCTGGTCCTTCTGCATCTGTCTTGGTGATCCCCTCGCAGACAAGCGAATTGAGCAAGGGCCCCTCAGCCCCTGAAGAGAGATTTTGAAAAGGAAGGAAAGGAAAACATGCACACATACATACGTATTCCCGAGACGCCTGACTGTTAGTAAAGGTAATTTAACAAGAATTATCCCACAGGGACAAGGCTGGGACCTCCTCCCTACCCTCGTCCCCTGCCAACCCCCCACTCCAGCGCCCTCAGTACAAATGCATATGCCGCACTCATCTGCCTGTGACAGTTAGTTAGACAAATGTGCTGGGAGTAGGGAAGAATAATTAGCACATTCATTAATTAGAGTACTGTTGGTAGTTTGACTGTGAAGGACAACCATTTGTCAACAGAGATCAGGACAGCTGGGGCCAAGCAGTGATTCAGGAGGGCAGCAATTCAGGGACGGCGGAGGCACTGACCGGCTGCTATTAAAAAACATGGGAGTTGCTCATTCACTCAGCATCCACGCACTTCCATCACCATGGCAACAGGGGCCACCACGCTGGCGGTCGGGCAACATTCACGTATCCTTCATCCTGACCTCAGGATGCGTGTTGCCGTCTCATGACATCTCTTCCCTGCACTGCCCATTCAAGGTCGCCCTCAGTGTTCACTAGGACGAGGATTTACCTGCGAACGGGTGGTGGTGGTGAGGAAGAGGGCACACGAGGTGGGGTCCGCGCCAGGCAGGGCACAGAGACAGAGCCCAGGACTACAGGCACAAATTATAGATGGTCACAAACAGTTCCTGCTCATTTCAATTAGTCTAAAGAATATTCAGACCAATAATGATCTGAAAGATAAGTGATAGCAACTGCTCCAGATGTCACATGCCAACCGTCTCTGAGAGAAACAAATCAGCCTGGTTACATGTGATTTCTACTTCCCTGTCCACAATCAAGTGTCCTTTCCTTCTATGAACAGCCTGTGCTTCTGAGCTGAATTGAACTAAATTAAGATGAATCCTCACGCCATTCTATAGACGCAGAAACTAAGAGATAGTGAATTTGCTATAACCTCAAATGCTATTGATTACAATCCACATGTGCTCAGGCACTGAGCTAGGTGCTTTACAAATCAAAATGACATTTACAGCTATGACCTCCAGTCTCCACAATCTCAGGTTATACGCTGATCATATCAGTGCAAAGCAAACACACAGAAGAAGTCCATGGACATTCACACGGACTAGAGGAAACCAAGGCAGCATCCACAAAACTGCTTTCCTCTCCCATCACAAATGCACACAACACAGGGTATTGTTGATGACTTTGTAGGAAAATGAAACAAATGACCCATAAGTGTAGAAAACATCAAACAGTGTGTCACGTATGAAAACGAAGGTTAGACACGAATTCCCTCACTTGCGTCTTAGCTTTATCTGTCTTGTAGGC